TTTTTTTTTTTTTTTTTTTTTTTTTTTTTTTTTTTTTTTTTTTTTTTTTTTTTGCTTTTGGGGTTTCTTAAGGTTGTTTTGTTTTTGTTTTTTTTAATCGGATCAATAGAAATCTCTTTAGGAAAAAAAAGCAATGTTGCTGGTTTGTTCTCACTGGGGAGGGGGCAGGGCTGAGGAGCAGCTGCAGTGCAGTGTCAGAAAGGAGACAGGGGAATGGAGGGGGTGTGAGAGACGGAGGGTGAAAGAAGGAGAAGAAAGGAGAGAGGGGGAGAGAGTGGAGAAGGGAGAGGGGCGAGTGAATGAGCGGGAGGAGGGGAGCGGGGAGGACGGGCAGAGGGAGTGGGAGAGCGCGAGGGCTGGCGGGGCGCAGGGAGAAGCCGAGGAGGAGGGGAGAGTGAGGGAAAGATTGAATGAGCAGGAGGAGGGGAAAGAGGTGGACGCGGAAAGAAGAGGGAGCGGCGGAGGAGGGCAGGAGCCGGGAAGGAGCGCGGCGGTCCCCGCGCCGCGCTAGCGCTGCGCTCGCTCCCGCTGCTGGTGCTGCCGCCGCCGCCGCCTCCCGACGCCGAAGTCTCAGCCTGCGGGGGCGGGGGCGGGGGGGGCAGTGCGGGGGGCGAGAGTGTGCGTGTCTGCGCGGGAGTGAGCGCGCGCGGGGGCGCGCGCCGGCGGCTGGGGCGGGGGCGGGGGGGGCAGTGCGGGGGGCGAGAGTGTGCGTGTCTGCGCGGGAGTGAGCGCGCGCGGGGGCGCGCGCCGGCGGCTGGGGCGGGGGCGGGGGGGGCAGTGCGGGGGGCGAGAGTGTGCGTGTCTGCGCGGGAGTGAGCGCGCGCGGGGGCGCGCGCCGGCGGCTGGGGCGGGGGCGGGGGGGGCAGTGCGGGGGGCGAGAGTGTGCGTGTCTGCGCGGGAGTGAGCGCGCGCGGGGGCGCGCGCCGGCGGCTGGGGCGGGGGCGGGGGCCGGGGCGCTCCTGTGGGAAGGGAGGGGGTGAAAGGTCACGGGTCCCCGGCAACACGGCTCAGGCAAACGTAAGCGGCTAGTCGCAGAAACCGAGGGGTCCAAGAAACCCGCTAGGCTGGAAGGCGGGAAGTAGATATTACTGACAACCGTGCCAGCCAATAATATGGAAACGTGAGAAAGGCTCTTCAGGCCCCTTCCCAATCGGAAAACTTGGGTATGAGAGGGAGTGAAGGGGCGGGGTGGGATCTCTCTCCAGCCGGGACTGGAGCGGCGACAATTTTGGCTAGCCTGAGAAGGGCATTCGAGTGACCGTTGACAAAGGGTGGGACAGCGTCAAGGCTGAGGAAAAAACCTTAACTGTATGCTTCTAGGACTTCTAGCTGGGTACATCAGTCTTTATTTTTAAGAGTTAGGTAAAAGACATTAGCATCTCACTCAAGGGCGGTTCTACGGGAGATTTCATCAAAAGAGTATTACTCACACTGTGTGACTTCGTTAGGGAACTTAAAGTGTCACTCGCTGCCTTAAATCCTTTCGGAAACAAGCCAGCATATAAATAAATAAAGTTAGGTATGTGTATCCCCTTCACGAGGCGCCGAGAAGCGGACTAAAGACAGGCAACAGCTGAGTGTGTATCCAAAACTAAATACTGAACGAACTATGAATATACGAGTAAAATTCAGTGCAATGTGCACAGCTTATGATTATACAGATCTTGGATATATAACGAACCTGAACCACAACCTAGAACACTATAGGAAAAAAATATGTATTTGGAGTAGACGCTGAAAATCTGAAAAGACTCCGTTTACAGATGAGTAAACTGACTCAGCAAAGTATTTTGCTCAAGGTCATCCATCAAGTTAGTAGTTTAATTAAATCAGTGTGCTAGGAGGCAGTGATAGTGGAAAAGCATGGGCTTTGGAATTCAAAATCTTGGTTTCGAGTCCTTGCGGGCATATTCTAAAAGTGTGTCTCGGGCAATCCCTTAACATGTTGCTATATGTATTAAGTGCTTACCGTGTGCCAGGCAATCCGCTTCACATATGGTGCTTTTTACATGCTGTATATCATGTAGTTATTACTGTCAGCACTTTATGAGGCAGTTTGGGTTTAGAGATATTAATAATTTTCCCGAAGTCACACTGGTGTAAACACTGCAGTAATAATTCAAACTGAGGTCGTCTTGATTATAAAGTCTGTCCTCTTGAATACTGCAGTACACTGGAGCCTCAGGTTCCCTCCCACTTAAAAAAGGGACCTCAACTCTACCTCCCGAAATTCTTGAGTCAAATGAGATAATGTCATGGCGATGTCATGGCGATGTAAAAACGTATGAACATATTCACTAGATTTCTAGAACAAAGATGCTCCTTACCTATACATTTCTACAACAGCACTTCAACATGAAAATGGCTCTAGTATTAAGCTAGCATAGAAAGAACTTCACTGGAATTCTGTAGTATTCTAACCAAGAATACTTGCATAGCTGAGGCAGTAACCTCAGAATAATGGGATAAAATTTAATTCCTGGTACATAGAGAAGGGAATGGAAAAGAATACTAACTCTACTCTTAGTGTGCTTAATTGGAAGGAGCATCGAGAAGGCATTGGGATTTCTGGTGCTTTTAAGTAATGAAAGATAGATGACACTCTGCTGAATGAGGAAGAGAATAACGTTTATTTGGGAATAAAAATTCATCTGGAATATGAAAAGCACATTTGCCTCAAGTCAGGGAAGAAGATAAGCTGAGAGCTGAAAGAAAGGGAAAGCAGGTAAGTTAGTACATATTGGTAAAGGTCTGTGAACCGAAGTTCAG